GACGCCGCAAAACAGCGCCAAGCCAAATACGCGGACAAAACGCGCCGCGAAGCCCAGTTTGAGGTTGGACAGCAAGTCCTGCTGAGCACCAAGAACTTCACGTTCCGGGCACCCAACACGAAAGGCCTTGGCAAGTTCATGCCACGCTACATCGGCCCCTTCCCCATCACTGCCAAGGTGGGCGAAGCCGCGGTTCGACTACAGCTCCCGGCGCACTTGCGCATGCACGACGTATTCCACGTCTCTAAACTCAAAGCCTACAAGGCTGGCAGCAACGCGCCACCCCCACCTGCGATTCCCGCAGCTGAGGGCGAACCCTTGTGGTACGTGGACGAGATCCACGCCCACCGGCAGTCTCGCAGCAGGCGCCGCATCACCACGGAGTACCTCGTCAGGTGGCACAAACTGGGCCCCGAGTACGACTCCTGGGAGTCCGCAAAGGACTGCAACCAAGGATGCCCAGAGGCAATCCGCGCTTACCATGGAAAACTGTACGCAAAAGGCGTACCGCTACCCTAATTATCCACCTCACTCAAGGCGCCCCGAGGACGGGTTCGCATTCAAGAGGGGGGGAATGTAACGCCGCTAAGGCGGCCCTTGGCTCACCGGGCCAACGGTATCGTACCAACGGTACATCCAAGAACTATTCATAATCTTCCAATACCAAACGGTATTTATCAATACCACCTTTATCGTTGGATAATTTCCTTTTTCGCAACTGCTTGCCAACTGCAAGCTTTGTTACAAGAGCAGTAATGCCAAGGAGTTTCGTGCCACCTGGCTGTGTTTCTGCGGCGTTCTGTTCGGAGTCATGTATAAGCTTTGTTTGTACCATAAATTCTTGTACATGTATCTGCTGCTTGTGGCTTTACTGTAGTATGCGGTTGTTCGTTGCATGCTAAAACGCCAGCTTGGTCTCGGCGCTTTAAATGGTTTCGGTGCTGCATCCTAATTCGGTACGGGAAACTCCTAGCTTGCTTTCCTGGGGAAATTGTCCCACAGTGCGAATTTCTTGTTGGATTAGAGGCCCCTCCCTTAAGCTCCTGCCATTTATGCCTTGGGATAGGCGTTTGCACCTGGATGTTGCGATGCAGCACTGGTTTAGTTGGTTTGTCCGAAGTCCCCGCTATTTTGCAGCTAGCAATATCATGCTGCTCTTGTAACACACTCTGCAAATTTGGGTATTGAACAGATGCTGGGCCGTTTAGCGAAGGGCGTGGGTGGCCTCGCCAAAGGCGTGGCAGGAGTAGCGCTCGGAGAGGCAAGATCAGCGTTGACTGGTAAGCTCAAACCATTTGCAGCGAAGTCGTCATACGCGCTAAACTGCGACGTCAGACGGTTCGGCCGATTGCTACGCCAGCTTCGAAAATTTGTTATCAGGAGCTGCGAGTGTCCATGATGAAGGTACAACTTATCAGCGTTGCTTTGCTTGTTTCATGCAGCTGTCCCGAACGATGAGGCCGAAGTCGAGGGGCTGCTGCAGCGCATCTCGGGCTCGCTGTTGCCCGAGTATCGTCGCCAGGCAATGTCTCAGCTTAAAGACTTGCTTGTGGACAATCCAAAGGTCAGCGATCTGGGCTGCAATTTTCATAGTACTGGCCCTTCGGCTCTTTTCCCGCTATCACTCTGCCATCTGGCGTCCACCTCTTGGAGGGACCCGCAGACCACAACTTGTCACAACCCCTTCCCTCTTCCCTGGTGCCCATTTTTTCTTTAAGCAGTGGGTTGACGATCGTTTGTCAGCACGCTGTAAACTATTTCGCTGGACTCCCATGCGTCCATGGAAGAAAGAATGCACACAGAGGACACAGCCTCCAGACAGGACCCATCGACTCCTCCTCCTGTTCCAATCCATCAGCACCTTCTCACTTCGTCGCTAGGGAAAAATTTCGATGGGGCCGAATTTCCTAAGGCCAAAGCAAGAGGTCGACAGCAACCCGGCATGGCCCCATGGGGCCAATCCTCACATCACCACGGCCATCTCCCCACAGTTTGTAACACACACGCGTCGTGATGCACAACAAACAATAGCCCACTACCCACCAACCCACCCACCCAAGCCCCACACTCCAGGCAACCGCCCTCCCCGCCCTTGACCCTTACCATCCGCCCACCCACCACCAGCCACTGCCCCCTCCACCCTTTCCCCCTCCCTCACTCCCCTCCCCATACAGGCCCAGCTGGCGTTCGGATCCATGGGTATTCCCGTACTACTTGCCGTACTTCGCGACGACCGGGATGACGTGGCGCTGCTGCAGAGCGCCTTGGAGGCACTGGTGGCAGCCACCACTGGCCCGGGAGACGGGGCCCCTGGACACGACCGGCATCACGATCACCCCCACTACCTCCCCCCCCACCCCCCCACACAGGGACAGGGATTTCCTCCGGGGCTAACACCTGCCGAGGTGAGCATGCGGTTAGCTCAGCGGCTTTCCGGCTCATCCTCCGCCTACATTCTCATAACTTCAATCCACTACTTCAAGAAGAAGTCAGTGCAGTACAGAAGAACCCACCCTACCTTCACCACACGGCAAAACCCAACCTACAGCAAAACCCAAGCCTCTCACCCGTACACACCCCTCTTCCCCGATAGGCCACCGCAGCCGCCCTGAACGCGGACCTGCTGGCCCGGGAGCGTGAGCACGTGGGTTTGCTGCTGGGACTGTTGGAGGACGAGCCCGTGGGGGTGCCGGACTTTTACGTGAGGTACCACGCAGTACAGTTGCTGACGTCACTGCTCAGCCACTGCGCTGGGAAGCTGCAGGTAGGGGGAGGGGGAAGGGCCGTCGCGTCGGTGGGGCAGGGGGCTCGGGGGGGGGGTGTAAGACGAACCACGGGCGAGTGCAGCAGGTACCAGAACTAGACAGATAGTCCAGGGGGGGAAGGGGGGGAGGGTTGCCGGGAAATTCGGGGGAGGGGAGGGGAGTTGTACACACACGCAGACGGAAGGGCCCCGGGGGGCCGCTGACGCGTCCAAAGCGCCAGGAGCTGCTGAGGGAAAGGACGGGAAAAAGGGGGAGGGGATGCCGCTGGCGGGAGAGAGAGAGAGGAGGAGGAGGAGAAGGAAGGAACATGCGTGCGGGGGGAGTGGGAAGGGGGTCCGAAGAACAACGAACACACACACACACACAATGCGAGACAGGGGGGGTGGATAGGGGAGGAGATGTAAGGCGTCGATTTCCCGGCGCTTTTTTTACCTAGCCTCCCTCTCGCAACGCTCTAGACCGACCATATCTCCAGATTTCTAAGTTGACGGGGTTCCCATTTGTTCTAGGAAACTTCTGACTGCGTGGTCCCATTACCTCCTCCTCCAATCCCCTGGCTGCGCTCCCCCACCGCACCCCACCCCACCCCACCCCACCCCACCCCCCCTACCTCCCCCCCCCTCCACCCCTCACCCTTAGGAGGCGATCCTGGCCACCCCCATGAGTGTGGTCCGACTAACTGAGCTGCTTGGAGAGCGATCTGAGGTGAGGTTGGGAGCGGTCCGAGCACCGAGGGACGGGGCCGTAACTTTTGATGGCAATGCAATGTATGGTGAGCATCCAACTGCGGTTGGCGTATTATTGGCTTGGTAGCTTCTCAGAGATGTGCCGTAACGGATCCTTTTTTGCCAGTTTAGTACATCTCGTCATGGTGCTTGGAAGTTGTAGGAAGAGGGGAATTGTGCCATATGAGGGAGCGTGAGGGCAACGCAATGAGGGGCATTGGCTATGGAATGAGCGACAGATCATGTGACATGTCCGTGTTATCGTCAGGGTTGTTTTTAAGGTTAGGGATCTCCCGTACAGCGTCGCTGTACGACGCTGCCGGCAGCGGCGTTGATGCACGTCAAATGCTCGTCCATTTGCGTGGTTTTGGTTTTGCCCCCAGGTCATTCGTAACGAGGCCCTGTTGTTGCTAGCCGCTCTGACTCGCACTGACCCACGGGTCGGTGGTGCTGGTGGTGCTAGTGGGGCCGGTGGCGGCAGCGAGGTTCAGAAGATTGCGGCTTTTGAGGGCGCGTTTGACCGCGTGGCTGAGCTCTTGCGGGAGGAGGGCGGCCTGGGGGGTGGCATGGTGGTGCAGGTACGTCTGCATGTATGCGTGCGTGTGTGCGTGTGTGTTGGGGTTGAGAGAACCAATAGGGAAGGTAAGGAACGGAACGGTACGGCAGTGGTCGCGTTCCAACTCGTGCCGATAGGTGTTTTTTCTCTTCTCCTGTCCATAATTGAGCGTGTTGTCTGGGATGGGGGAGGGTGCTGCCGTCGCTGTTCCCTTCCCTGTAATGTACGCTATATGGGAGGGGGGTGTGGCTCAATGACGGCATCCCAGGCAGTGCTCATTTCGGGCCCCCTCCCTCTTCCCCTCCCTCCCTCTTCCCCTCCCTCCCTCTTCCCCTCCCTCCCTCTTCCCCTCCCTCCCTCTTCCCCTCCCTCCCTCCCTCCCATAGGACGCCATTGAGCTCATGAAT